TTGAAGATGATGTTCACGACTAACGTATATGTATAATGCGTGTGCATAAATGGTCAATTGTTTAAACGGCTAAAACATAGTGGGCCAATACTAAACATAGAACATTAGAACTTAGCCTAAGTAGTTTATAGTTATAACTTAAGGTGGTCCATGGAGTCCTTTGTCTGGGTGAGCGGATGGAGGCCCTGACCGCCTTCCTTGAAATTAACTACTTTCTGTTGCCACCTGGTTAGGATGAGCTCTTTAGACCCTTAGAAGCATGAAAATTACTCCAGTACCTTTGTTCAACGTATCCATTATGTTTAAAATGTCCCACTTACAATAGTTTAAAGTTTCAATGTAACTGATTATCAGGTTACAAAATATTTATGTACATATACGTTTTCTAGTTGTTTGTATCTTTATTATTCCCATCAGCGAGAAGATAGCACTATCCTTGAGTATATGTAATATCTTATCTTCTCAGAACGATTGTAGTGTAATAAATTTTGTATCAAACTTGAGTTGACAAATCGATAAATGTAAATAGATGTTTTCTTAAATTTGATCTTTGTACAGCGACTTTATAATTATTATGTTTTATTGTGTTGTTTTTTTTTGTACATAGCTAGAATATCATCAAAATATTAGAGCGTCGAGCCCAAGTATATTATTAAAACAATCTATACTTATTTATCACATGTAGTATGTAGAAATAAGCGGCTTTAATACATATATTTTAATCAGTAAATTCTATGGAGAACTGCTGAAGAGATAAACTCTTAAAATAAGCGCCTTACAGAAAGTCGTGTCGGAGACTTCATAACCTTTATAAACAACTAGCTGACCCGCGCAACTTCGTCTGCGTCTCTCAATAGTAATAAATTTTCTCCGTTTTTGAAACATTCTTCATTGGTGCTCCGCTCCTATTGGTCTTAGCGTGATGATATATAGCATAGATTGGTATTAAATCAGCTATCCTACGCTATTAAATCAGTATAACGAGCGCAGCAAATGGGTACAATTACATTTTGTATTGTAAATACAAATCCTCTTTACACTCCCGTGTGTATGTTATTCCGCACTTGCTGCTGTGTGGGGTAAATTATTACGCCGAGTTAGCTCGTAAACGCTGACATTTATAATTGTATAACAAAACTATTTTTGTTTATTTCAGTAAGATTTTTTATTTCCCTTAACATTATGATAATATGAATATTTTAAAGAGACGTCTATAATTAAGAAAAACGATAGAGCAAGGGAACTGTTGATGCTTTACACTGCGCCTTAGTTTACGAAAGAGATTTTTTTTGTCTACTTTTTCCTGATCAAGAATTTCTTTTTTAACTTGGATCACACTTTCAAAAGCTGCATCGAAGGATCGTTAGTCGTCAAGGGTAGTTTACGATAGGATATTGTATAATAAGTAAATTGTAACTTTCGAAAGAGTGGTCATAAAAACAATGTAAATTTGGTTCAACGTTTTTTTTTTAATTTGCATGTGCATTATAAATTATACTTGTATGATAAGCGGATTGCGTCAGCTGAGTCAGCCCACCGCCCACTATACAAAAAACACATTTCCTTCTTTGGATTCTTCGAATCTGTTCAAGATGACATAATAGGCAACAACAACACGTTAAAAGTTCATTATTATTAATTATTAAAAGTATTATCGAATAGTAATAACCAACAACATCTAAAAATAAACAGAAAGGAGAATGCCCATTCATGGTTTCACTTTTAGACGTTCACGCCATATTTAAAATGGTATTTTTTTTATTGATTTTAATGTAACTCGGCATCTCTTCTATAGAACTTGGGGTTTGAAATTAAATCTCACAAGGACTAAAACTTGAATCAATGACTGTTTCCATCTTAAGTTAAATGTTGCCATTATTTAAAATAAACCATTAATGGTTTATTGTATATAATTGAATTCAATGAAAATAAACATCGTTTTAAAATCGTAATCGTAATGTCACATTAAAATATATTGCAGCATAATCTTATTGTATCGTGCATGACGTTTTAGTTTATTTAGTGAATGTATGTCAGTGCTGGTGGTTAATTAATACATGGTATCCCTGTCAAAAACATGATGCCACAAACATTATTTTGAACTAGTGTAAAGTTCATACAAAATCTATGATATCCCGTGCCGATCTACAACCGCCCGTTTCCAAGGGGTTGAGCCTTATGAGAAGAAAGGGCAAACAAACTAATGGCCACTCTTTTGCAATTCACAGATAGATACAATGTTTACACAACATTGTTTTGATGTGTGCCAGTATGTCCGTTTTTAAGGACTAAAAGGTAAAATAAAATAAATAATAAATAATCCCAAGCATTCTTGTCTTCCATGTAATCCACAATTGATTAGTAGGCCCTCTGGCACAAGCCACGTTTTATTGAGGATTTTAATTTGTTAACTCTTGAATATTATTATTTGGGATATTTTTATAAAATCGGACACATTGACCTCGAAAAGACTTGTTTATCTTTTGGAGCCTAGAGGCGGGTACTACAAGTTTATTTCTATTTCTAGTATTTGTAGAATGTACATCAATTTTTTTCAAAAAGCTATCTTTGTTTTTATGAACATATATTACATTTTCATAAATATATTGACTTGTCACTGTCATTATGTTTATTTCTTTAAATTTCTGCCTCAATGAACAACGATTGCCTAAATTATAAAGTGCTCGAATAGCTCTCTTTTGCAGCACAAAAATAGTTTGAATGTCGGCAGCATTCCCCCACAGTAGAATACCGTACGACATTATGCTATGAAAATAACTGAAGTAAACAAGTCGTGCTGTATCAACATCAGTCAACTCTCGACTATTTCATGAAGCGATTATATCGTATCCCTTTCAATGAAAGACTGATAATTAGGTGTTCTAATGGAAGCCATTGTTGTGTCGAGTGTCTAAATTAATGTTCCATTTCGTCATAGCGACCTATATACACAGGCGTCCGACGATACCATTGGTGACTGTGACCGCGGGCAAGTTTAATTCTTTTTTTCCAGTTAAAACGACAAATTTACGCTTAGTTGATATTAATAATAGATGGATTATTTAATGAAGGTTGTATTTAGGATATTTTGATTTTCTATAAATTTATGTGTACATTGAGCAATGTTTAAAATGTTTAACGTCACGTCGTTTAACACCTTTTTTTTTTTTTTGTTGACGGGGTGGAAAATCCCTTCCACGTTTAACACCTAGTCTTTTTATTTATTCGTAAGAGAAATCATTTCCACACAATTGAATACAAAGATAACATTGAGTTCTCCTTTTTCTATAAACTAAATGGTGGCTGTGTGGTCAAGTATATAGTACGTTGTTTAATTAACCGACTTCAAAAACACAAAAGAGGAGGTTATCAATTCGTGTGTTTTTTTTTGTTGTATGTTTGTTACGCGATATCTTCGTCAATTGTATACCGATTTTCAAAATTATTTTTGTCATCGAAAGGGTATGCTCCCATTTATATAAAATCAGGATCCTAGAGAAATCGAGGGAAACCCTTAAATTTTACAGCTCCGACAAGGTGTTTTAGTTTTGCGTTTAGTAGCCGTTATGTCATGTTGCTGAGCTGATGATGGAACGATCGTAGACCTTTAGGAGTAAGAAAATAACTCTTTCAAAAATCTAATCATGTATTGACCTTGTTTTAGTCATTCAAGATATTTGTAAGGTGTTTGTGTGGGGTAACAGAGATATCTGCACAAGAGAGCAATAAATGAATGAAATAATAATTAAAAATAATATTTTTGTGATAGAAAGGGGTATACTCCCGAGGTGGTCCACATCAGCCTTTAATAGTCCACTACTGGACATAGGCCTCTCCTTAGAAAGGAGGTTTTGGTCCATTACCACCAAATCAGGATTTCCTCAAATCAGGATCAGGCAACCCTCAAATTTACAGGCCTGACAAACAACGTACGGCAACGGCTGTATTCATTTAAATTAGTCGAGTCACCATTGTGTTAATGCTCAACACCTAACTGTAACTGTGAACAGTCTGCTCATCATATCCTCTAGGAATGTAGTCTTTAGTTAGAGTTAAGTCAAGTTATGAGTAAGAACAAACTATTTGCGTGCCTGTGGGCCGATTAGGGTTTGGAATATTATATTATCAAATATTATGTGCTTAACAGTCATGTACCCCATATTCGCAAAATAAATGATTTTATTTAAGCTGATAATAAACTGCACTATCCTCTAGTCCTGTGTAGCAGCCGCGTCGAAAGGTGTACCTTCGAAACGCTTGTATCTGTTTAAATTGAATAATGTCTGGGGCTCGCCCTAACTAAGTGGGTTCTATTTTGCTTAACGTGTTCCATGCAGTTGTATCGACCAGTAGTACTTCTTTACGAATTAAGAAACCCACAACACCCACTTCCTAGTTCATTTGGGTTGCCGATAATTTTGTATTTCATATATTATATGACTTCATTAAGGACGTGTATAATTGCTTTGTTGTATGTGGCAGCTAGTTTATCCTATTAAAAAGTAATGAAGGTCGGAGACTACCAAAAGAAATTATCTTCGCATTTTTAGTAGAATTTGTAGTTTGCTGCTGTTATTTATAACTAAAATACTACGAATAAACTGCACACATAAAATGCCGCGCATTGTACATGTGTCAACAAGGAACAGAACCGTTTTAGAAATTGAACTGTTCTGTCCATATCAAGTATACATAACAAATATGACTAGAAAAAAAAACATGTTTTGTATATATTTTGTCGATTGGTTGACATCACAAGATATTTAAAAAAAAAGTTATGTAGACCATCAAGCCGCACTGAGATTACCTCAAGAAGAGGCCAATTTTTGACACTTAAAATATTAGGTCCCATGTTTTACTAATTTATTCGATATTTTTGAACATGTTTCCAAAGCTATTTGGTTACTAATTAGTCTAAATACTTATTTCAGAACTCTGGCACCCTGGGATCCGTACCATTATATACGACGCTATTAATATTTTTCTGTTCTGTTCTGCAGGCGCAAAGCGACGATGACGACGTCGGGCCCGACGACGTCAACGTCGCTGTCGAAGGAGGATTTATGGATGAATTCTTTAGTGAGGTAAGTTTAAATAATTATGTTTTTACCTACTACACCTCAAATTCTTCCTCCGAGCGTTTTTCCCCAACTAAGTTGGGGTCGGCTCTAAGTCTACTGCGATAAGGATGAATTTCGATTTTTGAAGGATGAATTTCAGACCTCCACACCCCAAGTAGGCTATATTAAAGTTCTGTATAAACTGTCTGTCGGACTTTTTAGGGCTTGCAACTACCTGTAACAGTTGCCACAGGTGTCCGTATGGCAACCGGGATCGACGGCTTAACGTGCTCCCAGAGGCACGAAGGGGTCACATTGTGTTAAGTAATGGTCATCCATCCATAGACTGACCTGGCTAGGATTGCTTAACTTTAGAATGTGTACGAGTAAACCTACTTGGTTACCACTTAGCTACGAGCCCTTCTGAATATCACTTGTGGTCCTTGCGGGGACACGATGCGACATGCATGCAGCATTAGTAGGTAGGTATAAAAATAAAAGTAATAGAAGTTAAAAAAATGTAATGACTGATTGGTTATGGATAAAGGAACTTTACACTCTTATTTAAGAGGAAAAAACATTGTAAAGACAGCACAGGATGATACATATTCCTAAGTTCAATATTGTCACAAATTCCACAAATGAACGTAATGGCATTTAGTTAACTCTAATCTACGACCGAATATTTACTGTGGTGACGGCAAGTCCTGGGCTAGCCGACTTGAGTAGAGCTTTTCATAAAATTATTTGCAGCACATAACGTTAGCTTTACATGTATACGAGTACAAATGTGTGTCAATGACTTATAAAGTATTATATCTAATAGTAAGCATTGCGTAATAATATTGGTACGTATAAATGACAAACTTCTATTTGTCATTTCATCCACATAATCTCTCGAATGCCTAGTACCCATTCTACAATTAATTAAATGTGGCACTATGCACGTCATTTGCCCCCTGCCGCCTTGACCAATATGCCAAGCGATCTAGTGGGGGCCCACCCACACTCGGTTTTCCAGTGCGCAATGACGTCATAGAAAGCGAGTAAATGTCTTTTTGCTACAGGCCAACTACTGGTCGGGTATAAAATACTAGACTTAGTGCAATAATTGTTTTAGCTGAAAGAATGTGAATAATACACGACTATAGGAGAGATAGATTTTGCTAGATCTTGTTGCCTACATAAATCGGGTTGTTTCATCTTCATCCTACCAAATCTCATCCCACTACATCATTTTCTTAACTTATCCCATTTTGTTTAATTTGCTATTCCTAACTCATCGATTACCTCAATTCTCATATAAAAACGCGTTTTGTGAGTACAGTTTGCGAACAAAAATTAAACGAGGGTGAAAATGGGGGGGTTATTAACACCTTGTTGGTTGTTGCATTGAGTGAGTAACTAAAGCGCAATAGGTAAATTGAAAATATTTTTTCATATTTAATGTAATACGTGGATTAACACAATCGTCACATCTACACCTCAACTGCCTTTAATAGTCCACTACTGGACAGGTTAACATTAGATTAACACAATACTGAATACTAATAAATAGAACAAATAGAGATTTGATCAAAATAATGTTATAATGTAATGAAACAAAACTCAACAGCATCAAATTATATATAAATTAAAAAATCAATTCTTAAACACTTACACATAGATCAATCAACATATAAATAAAATGAATTTCAAAATAGGAGTTAGATACAACCTATTACCTACCATAAGGTAAAACCACCCTATTATCGAACAGCAAAATAAGCACATATCTCATAAATCAGATTAAAAATAATATCATATACTTGTAATCGACGTAACTGTCCGTGTGGTGACGGATTAAGAATACGGAGTGTCACCATCCCTATTCATCCCGTGGGTATCGTAAGAGCCGACTAAGAGAGCAAACTACGCATTACAACTACAGCGATGCAAAGAGAAGGAAACTTAAAACAAACCATAGACCAATACGTCTGGCCAGCGTGGTATGCTAGGCCAAAACCTCCTTTTTAAGGAGAGACCTTTCTCAGGATTTAATGTACAGCAGTGGACTACTAAAGGCTGTTGATAAAAGAATGATGATGACTCGTAATCGAGGAGCACTATAATTAGTACACCTGCTAGATTTTACTTAACAAGGTGCAGGTAGAAAAAAGTTAGGAGATTACCTATTGTTTAAACTATCTTGAGAGCTTATTCTAAGTAAAGGGGTTCTGTTTCTCTTTCCTCTCTGTGATAATTCTGTCTATTTCACTTTAACAGTATTCGTGAATACTTGAACGTGTGTCCTATACAGAAATTACATCGGATTTAAAGTAAAGCACATACCGAAACACGCATTGTTAAAATTTTATGTAGATTGTTTCCTCAAAAAGACAACTCATATATCCTCTATCACGGGGGACTTTACAAACACAACAACAATTTATGGATCTAACAAAGTGTTGTCCCATGTGGGGATCGAATCCACAACACTCAGCGCAGTAGGCAGCGGCGAGGGGACCTCTAAAACCAACACACCAGCCGTGAGGTCTAGTTCCTCGTCTCGTCATATTCCTTGTAACCTTATTAAATAATTGAATTGGTTGAATACATAATTGTGCTGTCCTTACTTTTTCAGTACCTACTTGTTGAGTTGGGATGACTTAAGAATAAGAATTGGGTCGAGTTAAGAATAAAAAATCAATTTTAAAAGTAAGATGAGTATGGAATAAGCATTTGGAATGATATAAGAATAGGGTGAGATTGAGTAGGATGAACAGGGACACCCCCATAAATCATTTAAGCATTTTCTTGTCACAGCATATTTCCCATGATCTTTTTCAGGAATTTGGAATGAACCCTTGGTTCACTAGTTTTTATTAAAGGCTGTTGACGCGTATGTTATTAAACCTAGAAAGAAAATATTATACCATCATACCTTTTCGCAGTGAAATTTATCGCCAGATTTAGCGTCAGTCAGGTGAATTAAATATTCTAGTGCGATAAGGAGTTTTTTTCCTTTTGACTGTCAGTAAAGATGATACTCTTATTGTGTCATCATATTTGCGTTTATTTCATAGAAAAACTACAGAATACCATTTAAGCTTCGTCATAATGGTATACATTCGCCGACACTCTGTAAACTCTGCCTGAGTTTTCCAATCAACATAGATGAACAAAAGTTTCCGTTCATTCTCTCTGCTGTTTGTATTATGCACGACGGATATTCCAGTAAACGATGCTTCTCTTCGTTCTACTACTGTTGTAATGTTGCGTGACGACATCGGTATTTAATTATATACGTATGACTACCATACTGCCATTTCTGACGTAAAAAGAAGGCTTAGCATTATCCCCAATAATTAACATTTCAGCGTTGAACGGATATAGCGAAACAACTTTCGCCTTCCTATTTTACCCGATTTCTTTTGTTAAATATTTTTGGCGTTGGATCCCTCAAAATATTTTTATGTATTTCCGTTGGATCCTAAATTTAAAAATGCATGAGCATTGCGTTTTATTGTCGTTGAATACCAAAGACTATTTTCGTTGGAGCCCAAATGCTTAAAAAAAACAGAAAAGGCTGCCCTGGACGCTCCCTCCTATATATAAGGCTCATGAATGGTGGAGGTGCTCAACTGGGTGTAAGGTATTCCTCCTTATGTTGATAGTTTAGGTAGGTAAGTTGAGCCATTACATACACATTAGTGTGTATTAAAAAAAAAACCAGACGATTTGAGTGTGACGTAAAGCTGTGGGAACGTCACAAAGTGCCAAAAAAAAACTCTCACACTTCACATTTTTTTCCAAGCAAACAATGCAAGAGATCTCTTTAAATGTCTACATAATTTTTCGTGCCCTTATTTGTCACATTTAAAAAAAATCTTACCGATAGATTTAAAATACCCTGCAAAACTATCGTCGGCTTTTTGGCTAGTATGAGAGGAACACCAAGCTGAACCGTCTCCATAAAATCTACCACGCTCGGGTATTTCGCAATGGCGATTTTTCGCCTTTGCAATTTGCATTTTCGATAATTCGCCAGAGCTTGTGTCACTTTAAAATCGTCAGACCCTTTAATCCAAATAACGTATCCCCAAAATATCTTTTTTATTTATTAATATAAGAATATTTATTAATTTAAGAATTTTTTTTTTTCGATTTCCTCCCTTTCATTTTTAAAACCTGTTGAAGCTTTTCCCACCGTCGAAAGTGGAAACATTTTATAACTTTTATTCATTCTATTACCTAATCTTTATCAAATGCATTAGGTCCCCATGACGCTCAAGTAAATCCCTATTTAGAATCTTAGGCTCCGCTACTGTGAATTGTAATTATAGCGGTAACATTGCTTTGTCGCCGCCTTGTTTAAATATTAACATTCTCATTGTGTTTTTATAAGACCCTCATCTATAACATTTAGGTTAGAATTTCCCTTATTGTTGATTGAATAAAAATATTTTTGAAGTGCTTAATAGGAGAACATTCTTGTTAGCAACGCGTGCATTGTTAAATAGTACGATTTCTATTAACTTCATGACACTCGTTCAAACAACATAACGATTTAATAGGTATTTCAACTGAAACCTGTTTCTATCGATCGATTTAATCACATTTCTTGTAATGCACTTCTATTTTTATCCACCTTTTTATATCCACTTTCTGAATTCTAAGATAAATGACACAAACATTTTAAACTAAGATTAATTGGTGATAGAGGTCGGACTTCCCGGCAACAACCCTTCCCTACACTTGCTTTCCAATCTTATCAACTTTGCCTTTCATAATTAAACTCCCAATGCTAAAGTGTGGACTGGTTGACAGCAATACGCTTGCCTTTAACCTCTCTTACGTTACGGGGGGTAACGTAAGCGAGGTTCAATTTATAGCCGGTAGGGATGGATTGAAATCACAATCAACTGTTTTAGATCATTATGATTTATAAGTCATACAATCACACGTGTGACTAAATTGCTAAACCTCTGCTACTTATGATCATGATTACGTTAGCGGCGGACTTGTTTTTCTTTGCTTAGATT